TAAAAATTTATAATAATTTTTGCATAAGAAATATAATTTCTAAATTCATTCTGATTCATAAAACAATATGAAGCAATTAATTATCATTTGTAGAAGCTATTTTTTTTACCTTCATTTAATTTAATGTTAATGATATATATGTTCATAATTACTTGGAATATTTTTATTTTAACTATATTTTATTATTAAATGTATTTATCCTAATAGATGTTCTTGAATGAATAAATAAATTATTTAAATTTCTTAAAGTTTAAAGAAAAAATTTCCAATACATATTTCACACGTTTTATTATATTTAAAAAACAAGGAGTTGATAATTAATTTAAAGTAATCGATTATTTTAATTTATAAAAATATAAACTGTTACATTTATATGCTCAAAAAACCTTATTTAGATTGGAAAATTCTAAGATACTACATACAATTTGTTGCTGAGTTATTTCTATTTGGAACTTCAAAATTTAAAAGTAATTCTTTGGAACTATTCAAAATAAAAATCTTCAAATTTCAGAAAATGCAAAAAATGAGAACTTTCTATTTAACAATTGATTACATTGATCGATTATTAGTTTATAGAAGCTATTATATTATAATAACTATTCATTATCAGTTATTTTTAACTCTTGACCGATTTTCAATGTATTTCCTCATCAATGATGAAAGCAACTAATAGTTGACAAAAATTAAAAACAAATCTTTGAAATTTGAATAGAATATTACTATCAACTTTTAGAATAAAGAAAATCTAAGTTAACCCTCTGTCGGTCGGAGTGGTCTGGCCAGACTTTTTTCGACTTCAATTTAAAAAAAAAATACTTCTTGTAATCCTATCGACTTAAAATTTCTTGACTTTTCCTAAAATTTCATTAGCTGTCGATCAATGAAAAAATCAGGACGAAAAAATGTACAAAAAGATAATTATAAGAATATTAACTTTTTTATACTTCAAACGGTCGGAGTGGTCTGTATAGACCACCCATACATTTTGTATGAAATATACGCTTTTTGATATATGTAAACCAGTATTTTGTCTTTTTTCTGGTATTTTCTATTCAAACTACGTTTTATATATTCTTTGCTATGTGTTGTAATATGAATATTAGTATTTTCACGACGAGAGTTCCTTGAAAACCCACCAAACTTATGGGTCATCCCAAACATTGAAAATCGGATGAGTAATGCATACACTATCAACAATTTTTCTACCCGTACTGCGTTCGAAACTTGAATTTTACAGCTCATTTCAAAGGCGACGCACCTCATTTCGTTTTCATTTGAATTTCACATTCATTACGAAGGCGCCGGAAAAGAATAAATATTGTTCACCAACAGAAAAATTAACAAAAAAAGCAACGATTTTTTTATATTCTTTGATTTTTTTTTATATAATATAATATAGTATAATATATAATATTTTTATTATAAGCAAGCTCAACACATGCAAAAATCAAAACTATAAATATTTACTACTAATAATCGTTAATATATAGGACACCAAAAACTCATTTATCCCATATAAATGCATGTAAAATGAATGATGGTCCAGTCTGGTCCAGGTAAATGAGTATCCAATCGACGGAGGGTTAACTAAGACAAAATTCGAAAAAGAAAGAAGAAAAATTTAATACAAGAAAAAAAATATTCACAAAGTTTGTTTCAATGATTATGATGTGTTGTGTTACATATTTCTGCTTAAAAAAGTCGTTATATAAACACTATTTTGGTGTTCAAACCTATCGCCTGTCATAACTGTCCTTAGGGTTTGGGCGGTTGTAAAATTCGTCCTTTTTGGTATGATTTGATTTTATGACTATTGAAGGGCAGTATTTCAGTATTTCCACGCAGACAAATGTCTAAATTACCATTTAATTTTTATTTCTCCCAACTAACTGGTGAATTAACAAAATCATGTCTGATCAAAAAAGTGGCACAACCGAACCCAGTTTCCGTTACGTTACGTGTATTATAATTAGAGAATCAGTTCTTTAAAAACAGTGATGAATTTGGGCACTAAAGACCCTCTATTGAGTTCGAAAAACCCTAAAACCACATTTGTTCTGCGTTTATTTCTCTGTTTGATTTATTGAAGAACCAATGATTGTTGTGAAACACTTCAATTGCAATATTAATTATGTTTTTATTTTTAGTATAACTACAAATTGTATTCGTATTTATAATATATTCAAAAATTTTAATGTATCGATCTAATAAATTTGAATGTACAGGGTCCGGCACTCGAAGTGTAACCAATTGAAAGAGCCATAAATTCAGTTTGGAAAATCAATTTTGCTCGATTCAAAGTACAAAATGTGTAAAAATAATACAAAATTTAAGAACAATTCACTTTTGCTCGACATGACCACCTTTTGCTTTGACTATGGCCTTTAGACGGTCCAAAAACAAATCGCATTTGGCCGAACGTGATTTGCAGGTATTTTGGTCCATTGGCGGACAACGGCTTTTTTTAGCACCTCGAGACTGATGCACCCTTTAGTTCGGACCTTGCTCTCCGAAATGGCCCAAAGAGAAAAATCCATAAGATTTGCGTGTGGTGAATTTGAGAGCCATTGTGCGAACGTTTTGAAGTTCGGAACGGTGTTTTTCAGCCATTCTTGGTTCACTCGAGCTTTATGATACGGTGCCGAGTCCTGTTGAAACGTCCATGGTCTGCCACCAAAATGTTGATCTGCCCATGGCTTCAAAGCAACCTTCAGAATACTTTCCCGATGATATCGCACATTTACCTTGACGCCAGGCTTGATGAAAACGATTGGAGATCGCCCATCTGCGGTTACAGCGGCCCAAACCATTATCTGTGGCTGGTGTTGCCTCCTGGTGGCCAGTCGATGGCTCAAATTCTTGTCTGAACGTTCAGTCAAGTAAACCCTATTGTTTTGAGAGTTTAAGAATTGCTTAATTATGAAAATTTTCTCGTCGGAAAACACAATGTTCGGAAATTTACCACTCTCGGCCAGGCGAAGCAACTCCTTAGCTCTCTGAAGTCTCACTTGCTGCTGCTTCGACGTAAGATCATGTGCCTTTTGGATCTTATAAGGCTTGACCTTGAGATCATTTTTCAGTATGCGGCGGATGCTACGGTCAGATGTATTAAGTTCTTCTGCCATTTAATTGGCACTTCGTCGGGGATTTTGCTCGAGTCGCTTTCTCACTTTTTTGACCATCTCATGTGACATTGCAGTCTTTTGGTGACCACCTCCATGACGTTTTGCGATGCTACCAGTTTCATTGTAACGAGTTATGGTGCGATAAGCGAAAACTTTACTCACTTTAAGGTGTTTGGGCCCTCGAACAATCGCTGGTTGTGATTTTCCAGCTAAATATAATGTAATCACACTGTTACGTTTGAAATCCATTACTGATTTCTTTTTTTCGCGTTCACTGTCGACTAAATACTTTCGTACGCTTATAAACAATAGACTAAACTATCATTTAGCTAACTTACTGACAGTTGGTACACGTGCATCAGCTACGCGAGCTGTTTGAAATTGGTTACACTTCGAGTTGCCGTTGGCCCTGTAATGATTTAATTTGTGATGATTTTTGACAGACAGACAGACAAAAGTATTTATTGCAATATTTCGAATACATTTTACATTGTTGCTTTTTGTACATATTTGTCTAGCCGTGGGTACTTTATATAACATATGATTTTAATATATATAATAAATATTGATTACAAAGTGTATACAATATGCTCCTTATTTAACCGCTATGGGTCGATCAGTATATAGTTTGGCATAGCGTGATTGCCATACCAAACTACGTCTCTAGTATATTGGCCGAGACCCGCGATGTTAGTATTAGGATGACCCACATTTTTGATAAAAATGTTCGATGAGCTTTTTATATGGTCGAGTATTGTTGGTACGTCAGTCGGTTTATGTATGTACAGTAGAATTCGCTTAGTATGACATCGAAGGGGCGCCAAAATCTCGTCATACTAACCGGTCGTCATACTAAGCATACTGAAGAAAAACGTTTTAATATGTGAATATGTTACAGTAATTAATGTTTCAGTAATTTAAAAGAAAAGCCTATATATACATTTTAATTAAAAATAAAAATGACACATATTAAAATTTAATATAAAATAAAATTGACGTAGGATAAGGCGGGGCACAAATGTCCAATTCGACTTTCAGTAATTATACTGTCTAAACTCAATGAACAACCTTGCAACACATAAAACACATCAAACAAGCATCTATCGAACTATGTACAGAAAAAATTCACATAATTCCTAATTATATAAATATAATTTTTTTTACTATTTTTTTTAAATTTGGTATCTGATCCATTTTACCTCACATACGGGGTAAAGTGGGACAACCAGAGGGCAAACAGATGCAATTTCTTCTATTAAATTTTAAAGGGATTTTACGCTACATTATTGAACCAATGCAAAATATTAATTCTGTGGGTTGACTTGTTACAAAGATAACACAGCATATTACATTGATTTGCTATTGGTCAGAAATATTCATTAGATGAGTCGGAATAACAATTTATTTAATTAATCTCTTGTGAAATTGCTTTTTTTTTAAAAACTTTACTATTTTATTGCTTACACCTTTGCCAAAGTAAAGGTTCAGTTGGCCCTTTTTATTGCAGTTATGTGCCGCTTATCTTCTGATAGCAAAGTCATAAGAATAAAGGTGATGGTTGGTTATGAATTTATACATTTTTTGCCCTCTACTATCAAATATTTTTGTTAAAAAAATATAATTTTACTTTTATTAATAATTGGTCTACCCTATCCATAAACATACAAATGTGATTTTTTAATGTAAGTAATCAGTAATTTTTGATTGATTTCTTTACATAATTTTATTGTAAAAACAGTCCCTATTGCTATTGTGCATAAAAGACTAGCAATTGCTTTCGTAGACTTGGCCACATCATGTAAAATTATGTCGGTCATTATAATTGGACATAATTTTTTGCAAAAGTGGGTCAACCGACTAGACAGCTGTTTTTTTAAGGAATTTTATATGGAAACCAAACTTCCTAGTGCGATTACGTCATAATAAGCGGTTGCCAATATATCCGGCGTCATACTAATCGGATTCTACTGTATTTTGAAGAGTAGTAATGTCTAGTCAGCGGGTTCTTTATTTTGTTAAGTACTAGTCGTGGTGTCTTTGATAATTTTTGATTAGATTTCTGTTGTTTTTATATCATAACTAGCAATCCCGACGAACTCCGTTTCGCCACCAGATGGTTTCGTGAGAAAAAAGGAGAAATTTTTTGTTTGTTTTATATTTCAAAAGGAAAAATTTGATTTTATTATACAACAGTAACAAATTTATTTTGATTACAAAAATGAAGTGTTTTTTAGTTGAACTTCCCTAAGTAAATGAAAGTGAATCCGCAAATTATCCGTTTCATGGAAGTGATCTTTGGTAAACCACATTTTTTGTTTTTTGGTCTGACTCGTGAACAGGCAACGTATAACTGCCCATGTGAAAAACAATGATTTTCTAAATAATCTATTTGAAATTTATCCCGCAAACACTAAGCGATTGGCCTTGCGACATGTTATTGCGAACGCGACGGATATTGCAATCGTTTGAAGTCAAACGGAAGACCAGTCAGAATCATTGGTATGTCACCAAATCGCCAGCAATTTTTGATTGAATGGTGAAATTCAGGGCCAGGTACATCATTATTCTTTGCGGCAAGAATTGCTCGTTGACTTAACCAAGCATAATTCTGATAATTCTCACTAATGTCATTACTCGAATTTTTAATTACGGTGCGTGAAGTTTCAGCAATTTGCATTAAGGCACAATGCACAACTTTTTTTTAGCTATAAACCTTGCGGAGCCCGAGACCTTTCCAACGAATGCAAAATTGTCGAAATCGGTTCGTGCGTTCTGGAGTTATTTCGTCAGGAAGGAAAACCCGACTTATTTTTATATATAAAGAAGATATGGGATGCTTTGATTTGGCGTACTGCAACAAATATATAATGCCCAAAAAATTTGTATTGACTTTACTTACTTTGTTGTCGATGGTGCATGATCCAACGATCCTGTATTCATAATCGGACAGATTAACATAGTTGTCCGCCTGTTCGTTGCAATGTATCGGTTCTACGCTGGCGAATCTTCCCTCGAGCGGGTTGTCGGTAGTGGACGAAACGGGCGCCGCGGTCGTCGACGGCTGCTTCGTGATAGCGGTCTGGTTCGGTTTTCGCTTACGCTTGATGACGGAAACGGCCGAGAGGCCTTTGTCGGCGGTCCAGTGGTCGTTCTCATTGTACATCACCTGCGCGAAAACACGTACCAGAACCCTGGAATAAAATTGAATCAGAATTAATTTAGTAAAGAACCACACTACTAGGAGTTACAATTGAAAGATAAAAGTTATTGTGACCGATTCAGTTTTCATATAAAGTCGTACTAAAAACTATCAAATGTTATGTGGTTGATGACCAGTCAGGTGTTTTAGACAAAAAACCTAACCTAGAAAACACACAAATATAAAGAAACGATGTTATAATAACTGCTTCTTTTTGATATGGCTTGATAATAATCGGGACGGGGGGGGGGTGTCATTTTTAAAATAACTAATGTTATCTAAGGATACAATTTAGTACGACAATGAAAAACAGTTTTTTATATGATTTTTTTTTAAATTCAGAATTGCGGACTTTTAGTGAGAACTTTATTATTGCATTATATGTAATACTTTTTTTCTATGCTATCATATTATACCTTATATATTTCTATTTTATTTTCTTCATAATTAAATTGAAAAAATCTTCACTTGTTTGTTTGTTTTCATAATTGTTGGTAATATATCGATTAATTATCAAAAAAACGAGTCAATGCGAGACCAAAGGTCAAAAGTCTAAATCCGAGGTAAATATTGCTCTTAGAAAAACCCGGGACACAAGGTAGAAATCTGGGACCGTCCCTGTCAAACCGGGACGTATGGTCACCTTATTGATAACATATGGATGAAGTTGCATTTTATGCATAAAACACCTGATCGCACAGCAAATACAAGGCAATTAATAGTGTTTAGTTGCATTCTGTATGAAAACTGGAACGCAACATAGCCTTGCCATAACATTGGTCTATTTTACAATAGAATTGGACCAATAGTTTTCTTTGACGATGTAATAATCTGTACATAAACTTTTAATTGTTACAACTAGGTTTTTTTTCAACTAGCCCTTGGTGTAATTTTTATATTAATCAATATAACTATTTAAAAAATTTAGCATTTACATAAATTGTCATACATTATATGAAGCGAAAATATTGATAAATCAAAATCAAATTAAGATAAATAAAATTTTAAATTTGTCGATAATAGTAACGCAATCCAAAATTTTAATTACAATATTATATTACAGGCCAAAAAAATCAAAACTTTCAAAATGATTTAATTTGTGTATAAATCAATTTATAAAAAGTCATACTGCCAACCTTCATAAGAAACAGTATCTCAAAAACTTATACAATATAACAATAAATATTATTAATATTAGTTTTTCTATGACTTATAAAAGATTGTTGCAAGTTGCAAATCCTACAATTAGGTGATTAGATATAATTATGTAGTATACGTTTAAATATATATTTAAATTATTATTAGCGATAAAAAATCTTTATTTTAATAACTTAATGAGCAATTCTGAACTATCACATACGTATTAATGCATTTTTTTGATGTTATACTTAAGCAAAATATGTTCAAAAAATATTAACAAGCAATATTTAGAAAGTTAATAAACGTTTAGAAAACACTCGATTTAGTTCCAGTTATAAGAGTAAAAATCAGAGGAGTTACTATAGGTTGGCAGAGATGGTAGAAAGGCAAGGGTCCTCGAACTAAAAGAGTCGCGGTTCAAAAATTCCCAGGAATAGCCCAGATATAAATTTAATTTTTATAGTGATTGCGTCAATTTCTTCACATCGATTCAGTAGATAAAAATTTTAATCCAGATCAATTACTTTCTTCCACTGCTATTCAATTAACAGGTGGCAATATTAGAAGTACTCCTACTTAAATATATACTATTGTATAGATATTTTGTACAATCTCTCATACCAGGCACTTCGGTCTGTCTGATAATGAGATGTAAAAAATTTATATTAAAATTCAAAAAATAAATAAACAAATAAAACAGAGGAGGCCCATGTTCAATTCTCGAACATATTCAACGTATAAGTAAAAACACTGAAAAATTTCGAAGTTTGTTAAAATTAAACCAAAAAGCTACAAAGTGACTATTTTTACTGATAGATTTCCTTAAAAAATCACTACAGGCCCTATCAAAAAAATTAGCCACGGGTACCGGATGTTAAGAATTTTGATTAAATATACTAAAGATAAGTTACAATTTTCTATTACCCTGGTCATCCACAGGCCCTTATTCCGTTTTGATTTTCAGGTATAATTTATCAGGTATAATTTATCGTATTCATCACTTTGATTTGACACAAAGCATAACAACACAAAATCACTCTCATGCAATTATTAAATTAAAATAGCACTTGCACAGCAAAATTATTATGAATTTTATAATAAATTCATCATGTTCAGTGGACCGATGCGGACGTTCGACTGACTGCTGAACATTTTAAATGTTAAAGGTGTCGCTTATGTATGACATTTACGAACTATGAAGGCATTAACACACAAATGCATACCAATTATTTTGTTGCTAGGACGATTTTTTTCGATAGTATTTATTTATATCATACCTGGACGCCAAATTAATAGATTGGCATCTGATTTAGACATTCTATAAAAGACTATCAAAAAATTTATCAGTAATAACGCTCAACCTTCCTTCTGCAGTCTATCTTACAACTAATAAATCGTTTTCACCTATAGTATTTAGGAATACTATGACAGTCTCAAAATAGGCAAAGAATATTTTCCTAGTATTTCATTATTCAGAAAAATCACAAACTCAATCATATTGCGACTACAAATCGAATGACTATACTTATGCTACAAGTTACTATATTTTTTTAACAAAACTATACTTTCATTCACGTTTTATTTATATTTATAAATATTGTATATAATTTTTTATCATAGATAGCATAAGTTGATAGTATATCTTATAAGATAGTATATCAACGTAATGCATTGTCATCCACTATTGTGGATCCCCATTTTCGTCTTGTGGACCCCAATTTTTTTTCCGTAAGAACCCCCGGAGGTTAATGTGGACCACTTTGGAAATCACTGATTTGAACCACCACAATCATTTAACTAATACCAAAAAATTACAAAGCAAGTCCTAATCAAGGTACGTCAATTGATTTTTATATTGTTAAACAATTCAGAATGGCTTGAAACTTGGGACTTGGGAGGGGTGGTAATTTTGAATATCACCATGTATGGCCAAGGGGGAGGGAGGGGTCCAAAATTCCCTAAATTTTTGCTTACGTGATTAATGGATGCCCCCTAAACTGCATACGTAACTATAGTTTATCAATAGGTTTTCGAAACAGAGGTAAAACTTGATCTGGATTCCGAAAAATGTTGATAAAGAAGATATAGGGTAAAGTGAAATAATTTTTTTTATAAAAGTTATGATAAATAAACTATTACGATCATCTGACTTATAAAAATCATCAATTCAAATTAATTGCACGTAACGAGGTTTCTGAAACAGAGATAAAACTTCACCTAGATCTTGAAAAATATTGTTAAGGAAATATAGTTATTGAGAAATATTTTTTTTCATTTATTTAATTTGCGAATAGATCAATTTATTGCAAACTTAAAATAATATATTGTAACGATAATCTGAATTTTATAATTTCAATCATTATAATTTTTTACTAATGAATATTATTTTTTTATATACTAATACTAATAAATATTATTTTTTTTACTATAAAACTCAAAAAATTGTTTTTGATTGTCTATAAGTTAAATAATATACGTATAAATATAATATTTTTCCATCGTTTTTTAACTTCCCGTAGGGTAAGTTATTGTAATGGGCCGAAAATCGGAATTGAAAATTTTTACATTTCTCGACGTTTTGAAGGTTTCTGAACGTTTTGGCATACCTCAGAAAAAATGGATGTGTGTGTGTGTGTGTATGTGTGTGTGTGTGTATGTATGTATGGATACAAATTTCCAGTCACTGTATGAGAGTCACAGTCCAGTATGAGAGTATTGCAAAATATTTGAGGACATTAATTTAATAAAATTGCCACGAGACATAAAATATTAAGATGCAATATTCCATATTAAGTAAAATATTAAGATGCAATGTATAGTAAGAAGCAGCATAATACAAATCGATGATCGTGTATATTGACACATATTAGTAAATTATGTTTTTATGCACTATATTTTGCGGATTTTGTATATTGTTAACAAAAGTTAACTACTTTATTAATAAAATATATTGTCAACTATAGAGTAAATTTTTATATCTACTTATGAACTTTCAACTTCATTACTTATATATTTTTATATATAATTGTTCCTGAAAGCACAAAAATGAATGAAGATCAAATTTCAATGTCACAATATGTATCTGGAAAGTAGCAGCGCGCGTTGAAAATGAATGAAAATGCTCATTCATTGATTTGTAACATGGAAACGATATTAAGGAATATGTGGGCAAACCCACTTCTGAGGATAGTTTTATGTGCAAAACACTAAAATAATCTCATAATATTTAAAATCAGTATTGAAATTAAAACAGCATTTAAAATGAGTCCCTGGTTTTGCCAGACGTTGGCTTGAAAGTATGGCGCGAGTGAAAGTTTGATACATTTAATACGTCGAAGGAATTGATGATTAGAAAATTTTGTTTTTGAGCAATTTTAGTACTTTAAACTTAATTATATTGGTTTGAATGATGTATTTTTCATAAGTAGATAAAATAGTAGAAGTGATTTAACGGAATTTATGCAGCAACCGAACAACAATTTAAATTTGACTTGATGACAATATTTTTGCAACAAATTGTATCATATTTTTGTTCCAGGATACATTGGCGCATTAAACACTAATATACAAAATTTTGCTCAATTGCTTGGTTCGCATTGGCGAAATATGCAGCATCTCAACTTCAAATTTGCAGCCACATATAATTTTGGTCAACATAATAATATTATTAACATCACAACAAGTAATACGACATAAACTTGGTTCCCACAATTAACAACCACCACCATCCATTTCATATCGTTACTTACTCAGACTCACGATCCTCCGTCATCGTCACTTTTAGTAAATATCCTATATCTGTTTCCGAACAACACAAACATCACCATTTTTGCAACAAATATACATCAAAGAAACTCAAAGTCCGAATAAAATTCAGGCGAAGTGAAAAAGACACTTGACTGCGTCAGGGCTGCCTGCCTTGCGAGTCGTCTAGCCCACCGGAGATGGACGCGTACACTCATCTGCGCCTGTGTCGGCTCCAGATCCAGGGGAGAATTGCCGGGGAAAACGATGGGCCACTTTTGATGGAGCTTCGAATAAGCTTCGTACCACGAAAGAGAATAATTAAATACTTATGAAAAGGCTTATTTAATTTGAAGTTTATATTTAGCAAAAATCGTTTTGACTTGCACAGAACAGATAAATTTTCAAATTTAATTTGCTACTTTCTAAAGTTTTTGCTATATAATTACCAAGATGAATAAATCTAAATGATCTTTATATTTTGATCACAAGTTTCAACAACTATATCTTATATATAATATTCTTCTGTAATTTTATATATAATATTCTTCTGTAATTTTATATATAAAATTCTTCTGTAATTTTATATATATATAAAATTCTTCTGTAATGGTGTATGTAAATATGCTCCTCCTAAATGATTATTGGGATTTTAATAAATATTTCTGAAGTTTGTTAAGGGATTTTTTTTAGGATGTATGAGATTATAAAAATATACTAACATTATAGAAATAAATGGAAAAAATTGCAAAATAGATATGTATTAGTTTTAGTGTATATAATATTCTAAACTTTGTAGCAATAACAAAATTTATTTATAACGGTATAATAATTAAATTATAATGACTATGGTGAAGTGTAAATAATGTATTGGCATGAGAGTATTGCAGAATATTTGCAGACATTAATCTAATAAAATTAGAACGAGACATAAAATATTATTATGCAACATTCCATATATAAAATGTATAGTGAAAAACTAATGTATGATAAGAATTGTATATTTTGATCACAAGTTTCATCAACTATATCTTATATATAACATTCTTCTGTAAGGATTTTGATAAATGTTTCTGAAGTTTGTTAAGGGATTTTTTTAGAATGTATGAGATTATAAAAATGTAATAACATTGTAGAAATAAATGGAAAAAACAACATGCCATTGTTTGGCATTAAATATATTTTGAGAACTTTCATCTGCCAAAAATGTCGATTTACTTCAAACTTGAATTTAGATTAGGCGAATCTGGACAAAATTAGTATATAACATCCATGTTCATGATTATGAATAAGAAAAATGTAATATCTACAATATTATTGCCGAAAACCAGCTGAGATGTGCCAGAAATTGAAACAATATAAGATAAAATATATGTTAGGCAGATGAAATTATATAATTTAGTTCAATAAATAAAACAATACGTCCAAAATTGCATATATATTATATTTTTAAACTTGTGTGTTGTATTTTGCTTTACTTTACTAAATTATTTAATTAGAAAAGAATATTTCTACTTATTGAAAAAATGATATAGAATTTTGTTTTAAGTAGCAATCAGAATACAATACAATTCTATGAGCTATTTGGCTTATATCATTCACTCATGCATAAATTATTGTGATAAATATTATAATATATTATAACTCCAATAAGTGAAATCATCAATACTGTTCATATTTGCAAAAATAAGGTAGTGCTAATGGTTTTGAATATTATCATTAGGCAGCTTTTTTTTCAGCCTTCTTAAATTTGGTGTCTCAAGAAGCTGAGTGACTTTAGAGTTTGAATGAAGTTTTAGTTTATGAAAATTTTTGACACTGTTGACTTTTTTAACTATTTATAAATTCATTAAACGACTATATGATTATATTTTTAACTGCTCAATTTGATTTCAAATTTATAATAATCCTTTCCTTAATCTAATTTTTATAATAATGAATTAATAACATAATATTAGTGATTTGGAATGACTACTACAGAATATGAATACTAGTAATATTTCTTCAAAAACAAAAGATATAACTACCAATTTGTTGCAATGATAAACTGGGCTTGCATAACTTTCAGGTCACGTTCTAAATATTTTTATATTTTACCCAAATAAGTTTAACATTGAAATAATGTTTTTGTGATTTTTTTTCCTTAATCTAATTTATTTAATTTGTATTATCAATAAAGTTTCAGATTTTCATTTAATAATGAATTGTATTATTATCATAAAATATATACACAAAATACCTAATCACTAACATTTCTTTTATGTAATATATTATTGAATAAATAAATTCTTTCAAACAAACAAACAAATTAAACAAGTATCAATTTTTGGAAGATTTGACCCATACAATTAAAATAATTATAAATATGAATCAAATTAATTGTATAACGTTAAACGACTAATACCTAGACTTTTTAACCTGAAACAAATTTGTCATAGGCTGAAGCGCAAACACAATAGGCCTCTGTGACTTCACAGTCATTAGTACCAAAATATTTGTTTAAAATAAACAGACTTTTGTTTTGTATTTGCATATATAGACTTAGACTTATAATCACATGTTCTCTGGTTATCTCAGAATTGGTAAATTACTCATTGGAGTGATTTTTCAACTATCAATATAGTAAAATTTATCACAATAATTTATATATGTGTTTGAAAGTCTGTGTGTATGTTTGTGAGTGAATAATGTAAGCCAATATTGTACTGTAGTCTGATTGCTGCAGAAAAAAAAAATAAAAAAATAAAAAAAATAAATCAGTGACTTTTTGTTACCATATTTTTTTATGTAAAACTAAAATTCTGCACATACAAATTTAAATTGTATTATTACCACTACTCATGAATGTAGACTTTTGTGGATCCATTACAAAACGAAGTTTTTTTCAACAAAATTTAAGTTTTTTATAAACAGCTTTGTTATTTATTGATAAGGTCCGTATGCCATGACTGACTGAGGTGAAAAAGACTCGGAACCTGAGGTACCTCGTATTTATATGGTTCCAGATAACGGTACAATGTTAACGTCCAGGTATGAATTTTAATCAGGGCTGAATTTTGTTGCTGAAAAGTCGCACAGGATTAAACATGACCTTGATAAACTGAAATGATGAAATTAGATTTGAAGAAACAAAAAGTATTTTAGTTGATAATGAGCAAACATATCGTTTTATTTTAATTTTGTTAATTTACATATACTGTCGACTGATTTTGAAAATGATTAGTTTTTTTAACATCATAAATTTTTTACTCTTTTTAACAATTTGTAACAACATAACAAATATGATATTTTAACGATATAATTGTCATCGAGATAAAAACAATGAAAAAGTAAAATATAATTATGAATCGGATATTTTAATTTTTCTAAGATCAAATTCTGTTTTGGATAACACGAGTTTATTCACTAGTTACTTGCATCTTGGATTATACTATTAGTGAAATCAAAAATAATTTCTCATACAAATTGCATGTTTATGAATGAAGCAAATTGGTATAAACATAGATACAAAAATGTTTCTATTTTGAATCAGCTCGCAGTTAGATAGGTACCGCACTTTCAATAGTAAAAGCTTCAATTTTGTTATGGATTATTAGAATATAGTATTATTGGAATCATATGGCAGATAGTACTAAGTACTAACTATAAGTACAATCTAAATGTGTTAATTGGAACAAGATGTAAGTAGCATTATGCCTTATGGCAAGTTGCATTAGCTTCCTGATATGTATACATAATCTTTGATATGCATCTTTTGATTTGATTTGATATGCATCTTTAAAATAAAATGTTCAACTGCTTATTCCGAAATAATTATAATATCTGTAATTGTTTAACTTAAATTAATTTAATTTCCAAAACATATATTTTATTTAAGTGTGGACATAAACTGTAATCAGTATCTACATACGAAACATGGCACGCTCATATAATTCGACATGGATTCTGATTCGAATCGCTTAAGCGCGCTACGAGATACATACTGAATTTTGAAGGATTTTCATAGTTCAACTACTTACCTATAATTGGGTCTATAATATTTTAGTATGCTGTTTCAGGTTATGAAATCTATAATCATCAAAATAGTCAAAAATTTCAGCATTTAGTTACAAAGAAATGGCCTAGCCGATCTTTACCAAAACTTAATCAACGCTATTCCTAACCATATCTTTCATTTTTTAGATTTTTAAAATCGGTTTAAGAATGTAGACTATAACACCAATGAAAAGTGTACACTTTCCTGCTAATTACAAAAAAAATAAAACAATTTCGTCGAAAATTTTATCATGAAATGGCCTGTCTGATCTTTACTAAAAACTAATCAACGCTATTCTCAACCACATCATTCAGTTTTAAGATTTTTAAAATCGGTTTAAGATTGTGGGCTATAACGTTGATGGATAGTTTTACACTTTTTTGATAATTACAGAAAAAACGGCTTGGCCAATCGTAGCACTAAGAAATATTAAATGTTTTCAAATAGATTATCATAAATAAATACTGTAACTGAGAAACGCTAGTTCTTATCAATTTACATAGAATAGCTTTAAAATTTTTGAAAATGGTCCAGCAATAAATTGAAAAAAACGTCGACAATAAATCAAAAATTGGATCACATATACACACGCACATACTTTTTAACTTCCCTTAGGATCAGTTATAGTAATCCCAAAAAAATCGAAAATGAAAATTTTTGCATATCTTTACGTTTTGAAGGTTTCTGCACATTTTGCCATACCTTAGAAAGAATGGATGTATATATATGTGTGTGTATGTGTGTGTGTGAGAGTGTGTGTGTATGTTTGGATATAATTTTTCGTCCACACTTTCGAGCACACGAATCCGATTTCATTGATTTAAAAAACATTCGATTCGTATTGATCAGGAGACGTGCTGATTAGTTTTTGGTGAAGACAGGTCTAGCCGTTCCGAAGATACGGGGCAAAAAGTGCCAAAAACGGTAACTCAGTTTTTAGGAGAACGGAGCGTCCGATTTTAATAATTCAAGAAACATTTTACTTGTATTGACTAGATGAAAAACTGAGTAAAGTTTTGGGAAGGCAGGTCCAGCGGTTTCAGAAGTCTAGTAAAGAGAGTAAAAAATGCGATTTGGCGGTAAAAAATGATCAT